CACACACACACACACACACACACACACACACACACACACACACACACACCTTGTGATAGAATTGCCCTGACACCAGGTGACACATGGTCCTCAGGGACCTGATGGGTAAATTCTGCGAGTCGTTCAGTTATCAGTGACTTTCAAAGCCAGTGTTGCAGAAGTTGGGTTTAGTTGCCTGGTTACAGTTGCAATCCTTCAGCTCGCTCAATTTTTTTTCTCTTCTCTTGGTTTTTGATGTGTTTCTTCTCCTTTATATATATGTTTTTTTTCTCTCTCTCTCTTTGCTTGTTTCTGACACTCCTCAAACTGCAACCTCATTTTCATTCCAGACTTAGAAAGAAGAGAAGTTGTGAAGGTTGTTTATTCCTTTGAGACCTCCTCCTCTTCATCCTCCTCCTCTTCCTCCTCCTCTTCTGCCTTTCTCCTTTCAAACACCAGCCCTTTTAAAGACCCTTTATCAACCGCATGTTACCTTTTTATTGCCTGTTTCTAAAAGCAAACGGGCGATATTGTTTTTTCTTATGTGTGTTCGCTTGTTTGTCTGTTAGCAAAATATCTCATAAACATCTACAACTGATGAAGTTCTGGAGTCACAACTAACCAGCTCAAAAATGGTTATAACTTTTACCAATTTTCCTAAAGTTTGAAAAAAATAAACAGCTTTAACTCCATATCTTCTCATCATAAGACGATCTTAGTTTGACACTCTGGTATTTTGTCAAGCGATGATCTTTAATTTCCCCAATTTCTTTAGATCGTCTGAGCAAAGTCACAGCACTTTGATCCATCATATAAAATTTATTTTGACAGAGTTTTTGTTGCGTCATGGCTCTCAGATCTGTATCCATTAAGCTATGTTATTCAACCGGCGGCTCGTGGGACACATCCAGCCTGCAGGTGACTTCAGTCTGGCCCACCTGTGAGTTTTTAAAAAATACGTAAAAAAATACAACATTTTTGCTTCATTTAAAATAAAAAATAGATTTTAAATCAAATTCAAATTTGTAATTTATGAATCAGTGCAGCAAAATAAACAAATTTAAAAGGTAAAAGCTAATATTGTTACGTTTCGTCTGGGTTCATGTTTTTATTTTGACTTTATTCTGAGTTTTCTGTCATGTCTGTTTTCTTCCTCCTGTCTGCCTTTGCTGCAGCCCCGCCCACTCACACCTGATCCTCATGTTTCTCCCACAGGTGTTTCCTGTTTGTGCTCATTAGTCTCACATTTATATTCTGTGTCTTGTCTTCACTTCCCTGTCGGGTCATTGTTTGGTTACGTTCTGTATTGTGACTTGTCCTGCCCTACCAAGCTTTGAGCTGCCCAGTCAGCACCTTTTTTGTTAAATAAATACTTTGTTTTTTGGAACCTTTAGTCTGTCTGCATCATGGGTTCTTTCCTGCCTGAGAATCATAACAAATTTTTGTTGAATAGCCCTGCATTAAGCATAAAACTCAAATGCTCCATCCCCTCCAAAAGGTTCCCACAAACACTGGCATGCACATTTACAAGAACAAAAGGAAAGAAAAATAGTTTTTGTTTTGTATGTTTTTTGCAAACTAACTGTGCTATTTTAGGCATCGTACATCAAAACATTGAGCTAATTCAGGATATGGGTGCTTATATGACTTATGTTTTTTCATATATTTTTTAAAGTGTTTAAGATTTCTCAAATTCCTTAAAACATTGTTTTCTTTTAAATCTGCTTCAGCATACTTTCTCTGTTTTTTTTAAATCTTTTGCTCCTTTTAGCTGGTGTTTCCTATTGCTCTGCTTCTTTTAGCTTGACCAACTCGGCTTCAGCTTCTTCAGCCAATTTCAGCATCAGTCATTCTTTATACTCAGCAGTCATTTATCCAGCAGCAAGCAAAGTGACTTTTCTGTTCCCTTCTCCAGGATAAAGCACGAGAATATCGTGGCTCTGGAGGACATCTACGAGAGCTCCAATCACCTGTACCTCATAATGCAGCTGTAAGTACATCAGCCCACCACGCTGTTTGTTTAGGTCAGCGGCTGGCCTCCTGTTTGTCCTGTCATTTTGATAATGTGCTGCGTTCTGAGCATGAGCGAGCGTCTGTAATGTCCTTGAGGCATCTAAGTGAAGGTAGTGATGCTGTAAAAAGGAATAAATCCTAACAGCAGGCAGGTTTAATAACATAGCTGATGCTGAAACTTGACAGATTAAGTAGAATATTTCCATTTTATGCTGTATGTTTTCTGGTGAGGGTTTAATAATAATAATATCAATGTCATATTTGTCAGTAGTTCATTTTAGTTCAAATAAATCCATGAAACAAGTCCGACAGCTTGAAGTAAATAAGAAAAATCCTGATCTCTTCCTGTGTGAAGTACAGAAAAAAGTCATTATAATCAGATAAAGGACAGGTGAGGATTATTGATTTGAGTTTCTAGTAAAATAGGAAGTGAAAACAGGATGTCTGAAGTCACAAAGAGGAAACATTTTTTGTGTGATATTGTTTTCATTCTTGTTGTCACTGGAACCAGCAGGAACTCGGGATGCATCTGGGTCAAAAAAGCTTTAACTGAAACACACCCTGAAACCATAACTTCTTCTTTTTTTCACCTCGATTTTTAACACAATATAATGAGTTATTCATAGAGTTTATATCAGGGTTCAACAAATTAAAATTGCCTGACTTCCCGGGGCAGGTAAAAATCATATTCGGCCAGGTGGGTGTTTCCTGATGCCTGCCTGACCGGGCAGGTGAACAATTTCTTTTATTTTTTATAGGGCCGTTTATTCAAAATATTCTGAAAATAAATGAGGAAATTTAGAAATTTAAAACATGTAAAAAGAGAATAAATCCTCAAAATTTCTGCCTCCGCTGTAGAAAAGTTATGTGGTGTCGCGAGACATGAGCTCATAATCTCTCCCTCCGTCCCACTGCACGTCGCGCAGAGTGAAGCTTTAACTTTAACCGTAGTTTTATCACACCCAAGTTGTCGGAGAAAAAAACTAGTTTTTTTATGTAATGTTACCCACAGAGATGATAAAAAGATGGGGATGTTCGTTCAGTCATAAATCCATCTTCCTAATGTAACAGTCGGCGCAGAGCAGCAGCAGTCGGTCAGTTCAACAGGCTCACTGTATGGCAGGCCAATATTGCATTAATTTGGCTTCACCAGTCTTACATTCCAATTATCTGAAATTGTTTTATGACTAAATTAGACATATTAGTTATTTAGGATAAAATAGTAAAATGTTTTTTTTAATTTGGAGATCTTTCCAGCTTGAGCTTGTTTGTTTGTTGAAGTTGATTTTTTAAAAAAAAGGGGCAAATATGAGAGTTTTTTTCTACACTCTGCACCATTCAGGGTAGGATTTACTTTGTTTTATTAATGCTGTACATAGATTGTTTTGTTTTTATGAATGAATGAAACAAACAGACATCTCTTAATATATTTTGACAAGGCAAAATACCTACTTAAGATATCTCTAATTATATTCTGACTAGTATAAATAACAGATTTATCATTAAGTTGTAGGGAGACTCCAGTTCAAGATATCTTAAATGTATCTTTAGATATGAGATAGACTTTATAAGATTCAATGAATGCAAGCTGCAGACTTTTTCATGTTCTGTAAATTGTATTTAAAACAAAGCTGCTGCTGCTGATCTTTCTGTTTTTATAAGCAGCCCTCACAAGGCCAATACTCTAGGGCAGTGGTTCCCAAACTTTTTATCTACTGACCCACAAAATATTCATGGCAAAAACTTGTGACCCCCAAATATTACTGGTCTGAGTACACAAACTTTGTTAATAATCCCCAAAACAAAGGCTACACAAATATAAATGCTTATTTATACTTATTTTGTGTTTTTGTAATAATTATGGGGAAAATATTACATCACCACTTATTTTATTACACGTTAAATTGATTTCTGAAGTGCAGTGGTTCCAAAACTTTTCAGCTTTTGACCCACAAAATAACAGTAGCAGAGACCTGTGCCCMCAACTATTTTTGGATGATAAACATTTGTATCAAGTCAAGAAAACATGGGCATAGTAACAATATTTATTATTCTACATTTATATATTTTAGGCAACTAAGGCAAAAATGTAATTTAGAAAATCTTTTCAGGACCCCACCTTGATGTTTCAGGACCCCACTTTGGGTTCCGACCCCAACTTTGGGAACCACTGCTCTGGGGGAAACACTGGAAAGGTCTAGAAAAAAGGTTTTGAAGATGTTTTGATAAAACAATTGACTGACTGTGAGTGACTCAGTCTGCAATGTTTGCATCTGTTTAATCAGACGTCATATTTATGTACCTCTGTATAACCATGTTAATATTTTTGTAGTACAAATAGATTACACGTTTTTCTTATATTTTATCAAATTTTGAACATTTTTGTTTCGGGCAGGTAACCTTTCATGTCGAGCCCTGGTTATATACTGTGAGACAACTAGAGTGTGCACTGCCTTGAAGAAATTTATTGGGGTGTTTACTACTGACTTTTAAAGACTACACATTGTATAGTATTTTATTAGGTGAACAGTGATATTAGGCCTGTCACGATAACAAATTTTGCTGGGCGATTAATTGTCTCAAAATTTATTGCGATAAACGATAATATTG